GAAGCTGTAATTCAGCAAGATGGGCATCATCTAATGGAACTTAATTGGCTTGATTTATGCTTGGCCAACACTTCTGAAATCGTTCAAATAGAGCTATGTTGGGCCCACTGCTGGGTCCAAGCAAAACTGAGTACATTTCCCCAATAATTACTTCATGCATATGGTGACAGCAAGCAAAGTAGAGAAGATTTTTCTCCATCAACTTCTCTAGCAAGATGCACGCATCATTTTTGGAACCCGTGTTTGACGCTATTGTGTCAAAACACATACCAACAATATAATTTGCAACACTCCATATGGTCAGTAACTGGAAGGTTACTTTTGCATGTACTAGTCCAGTGCCAGATGATATCTTTACAATACCCGGTATTTTCTCCAGATTACAACCAGTCACATCAATAGCAATCAACATTGGATTTTGGATTTTCATAGTTAGTGCTGTCTTTCATCATCTTACTATCCCAGTAGATGACCATATGTTGTTTCTCACTTGATATAAATTTCTGCCGAATATAATTTTCAGTTGATGAATGGTGCATGATGTGTTTGTGGCAGACTGTTGATCTTGATAATGGTGTATTTTGGAGGTCCTCTCCACTTGCTCTAGCAATTGCAGCTGCCAATATAGTTAATTTTTGGTCAGATAAATTGATTTGATCAAGTGTTGATGATACGTCTGGAGAAGACAAAATTTCATTGAGAATATGTGGCTTTTTATTTTTAGGACTTTGTTCACAGTCAGTTGATTGGGTTACTAGTTTTTTGTGATAAACCAGAATTTCTATTTCATAATCATCATTGTCATCAAGAATGACACTGGCTTCCGTTGCTTTACTATCACTATCAAAATCAAGAGGAAAGTGGCTACAGCTAAAGTAAGGACAGCATTTGCTTGTTATCTTCTCTCTTCTTTATTCTGCTTTCTTTTTATTTCTGCTTGTTGACGCTCTGCTGTTCGCTTTTCTTGTTGAGATAATTTTACATCTTCTCCAGCCATCTTCATCATACAAGCATTCTTTTGGTCTTTTAGAAATATTTTATCTTCATCAATTTTAATTAGCTTGTTTGCATCCTTGTGTGAAATGTGAAACAGTGAAATCTAATTTGATACTAAAATCTTTCTCTCTAGCAATCTGTGACTTACTAGCTCTTCCTTTATTCTATTTAACTAAATTATATTCATCAACATATGCTTTCACTTTTGATACAATATGAGGCTGGTAAGTTATTGGAATTCTGGCCTTTTTCCAGATGTGAGCTAAACCATTAAACGTTGCTTTTGCACTGACTGGAACTGTTTCAATGCTTTGTGATAGAGGAAAAACATCCTTAACACATCAACCATCGTTGGAAGGACATTGTTTGGTAGATTCTTCTCAGGTTGACCAATCAACCATATTGCAGTTCAATTATGTGTCAAAGGAAAATTTGAAGAACTTATCTTTTCACTCATTTTCAGCAACAAGCTAAAATTAAATGAGACCAAATTAAACTCAACTTGAGAAATTAAATATTAATTTGCAAACATAACTTAAAACATGTGATCAACATTTCAATATGAATGTGATGAAATCATAAGTATTACAAAACTATAAACACTAAGTTAAGTCACCCAATAATAGTTAGCACTAAAAAACAAAATATTGGCATAACAGCTATAGTTATTATTTTATAGGATTAAAATAAATAAGAACCTCAAAATCTTTAAATATTTTAGTTGTTCAGCAAAAAGTTACAATTAATGAAAATGTTTTTCAATCAAAAACATCAGATGACAAGATGGCTGCTTGTCACATGACCAAAGAAGTTAGCTCATAAAAGACAATGGTACATCAAATTTGTTTAATATTTTATCTAAATTGAACATGGGATAAAATTAGAAAATTATTAAGAAAATTAATAAGGTGTAATGCTATTATTGTAAAACTAAAAAGCCAATGAGCAATCTCTTAACCTTAATTTATTTTAATTATCTTTTGCACATATTTATTTTAATGCCAATTGGCACAGAATAAACTTGTGTGCATTCAGATCAGAACTTTTTTTCCCAGTGTTTATGTGAATACCCCACCCCTAATATATATATATATATATATATATATATATATATATATATATATATATATATATATATATATATATATATATATATATATATATATATATATATATATTATATATATATATATATATATATATATATATATATATATATTAGGGTGGGGAAAAAAGCACCTAAGTCAATAAAAAAACACCACAATAGTTTTTCTTGTTCCTTTTGATATCAGTATTAAAAATATATAATTTTTTTTTTTTTATGGGTATTCCTATGGTCGGTCCCAGCAGTCCGAAATTTTGAAAATTTCTACTTTTTGTAAATAATGAGGGGGCTGGGTCACTTACAAATATTTCAAAGATATCTTTAAGGTTATTTTTGTAGCCTGATAAATCTAATTTAAGATTATATTTTGTTTTATTGCAAAAAATGAAATGAAATGGTCAGCCCTACACATGAGGGGAGGGAGGGGTTCAGTTAATAAAAATCCGTAATTTTTAAAATTTTCATTCAAGCGTAAATAAAAACAATGTCAACAAGCAATGGTTATGGTAAAAAATCTCATTGTGAAGTTTTTTCTTGTTGGAAAAAGAATTGGAGCAATACCTATCACACAATTGCCAACTAAAAGAACTGTATTGCAATATTACCATTACAGAGATCTTATGCTAAGAGCTGATTTTCCAAACATTTCATCAGTTAGTATAGCTTCATGTCCACTTGGTAATTTCTTTACTGCACAATGTCCTGAAATAGGTGGTTGTCTCCGAAAAATGTTTACCATGCGTCCTTTACGAGGTGAAGAAAATTTGGCAAAAAGCAGGAATTCCTTTTGCTAATACTGACAAGCATATCAGGTTTTTGTTATATTAAAATGCTTTTTAATTTTTATTTTTATTCAGTTTAAAATTGATATTATACAAGTAACAATTATCAAGTCATAACATTTTATATATTTATAATAAATTACAACAGTTTAAATGCATTCTTTTACTTTTGTTTTAGAGACAAGATTGTTGACTTAGAAAAGAAGAGAAAAGATTTAAACAAACACAAGAACCGTTTAAGTAAAAATTTAGTTTTAAAAAGAGAAACTTTTTCAAGAATGCTAGAGGAAGTATTCGATGTAAGTCAAAACAATTGTGAACATACTACTATGAAAGATAAAACTAAAGATTTAAAAACTAGAAGAGAGGATGTAGATTTTCTTAATAACCAGAAAGGAGCGCGTGTTCAGAAAATGTTGGGTAAAGATAAAATTTCACAAAATATTATAAAAAATAAAAGAAAAAGAGAAATGAAAAAAAAAATCAAAGTATAAAAGAGTCCATAAGAAAACAGAAAG